CTCCTGCAGCCTCTAGCTCACTCCTGCAGCTTCCAGCACTCCTGCAGCCTCCAGCTCACTCCTGCAGCTTCCAGCACTCCTGCAGCCTCCAGCTCACTCCTGCAGCTTCCAGCACTCCTGCAGCTTTCAGTTCACTTTTGCAGCTTCCAGCACTCCTGCAGCTTTCAGCAGTCTCCAGCTCACTCCTGCAGCTTCCAGCACTCCTACCGCTTCCAGCTCACTCCTGCACCTTCCAGCACTCCTGCCGCTTCCAGCTCACTCCTGCAGCTTCCAGCACTCCTACCGCTTCCAGCTCACTCCTGCAGCTTCCAGCACTCCTGCAGTTTCCAGCGCTCCTGCAGTTTCCAGCTCACCCCAACAGCTTCCAGTGGCCTCCAGCTCACCCCTGCGGCGCTCTACTGACGTCCCGCTACCTATTCCAGCACCCGCTGACGATCTAATCCAGTGCCCACTGACGTCCAGCGCCCGTTAACGTCCGGACACCGTTCCCGAACAAACGACCTCTGTCGTCTTACCATCCACCGTTCGCAAATAAAGATACGATTTCCATCGTCTACAACGGACCATCTGCGTTTGTCATCCTTCTTTGCTATTGCCATCTTCTTGCCTTTGTGTCCCCTATTTTAGTTGTACGGTCGATTGGCACTCTCGGCCCGCTGCAACAGAACAAAGTAATTTTAAATTATTTTAAAATTATTTTCTGTCTTTATTAGAACATTCTAACTTTCGAGTGAAAAACCTTGTTTCTCGTCATCACCGGAACTCTAAATAACATGACGAATTTTTTGTGTATTTTTTTTCTTATGACACACATTAATTTTCAAAATTTTGCAAAAATAGAAATAATTGTCAGATTTTAATGAAACTTTCAGAAACTATTCAGAAATGATGGAAATTATTATAAATGTTATTTTTTTTAAAAAGGCATTATAAAAATATTATATATATATATATATATATATTACCTCCCCCCAATAAATAAATTAATGAAAACTCTAAAAAAATTATGGTCGAAGCACGCAAGTCATATTATTTAAAAACACAAGGCTTTGAGGAAAGTAAATCATGTTTTGTTTTTTTAAATATCTGCCCTCGTAAACCTAAAATCAGCTCTGAATTGTAACATACAAAACCCAATAAAACAAAGATACTATTTAATTCTAAATATTTTTAGTTGCTTTTATTTGTTTTTATCAATATGCATAAAATTGTCTGAAGGCAAAAAACTTTTTCGATGAAAAATGAATTTTTAAATGAATTAATTGTTATTTCATAAATTATTTTATTATTTTTACATGAAGTTACTAAAAGTTGTTAAATATTGTAAAATTAGTGGTACTGTTCAATTGTTTATATAATTTTTTTTTAAGTGCCTGTATCTGTACATATTATAAATAGCACAAGGTTTTTACAATCAACGAACCACCAATGAGAATACTGTTCTTTGCCCTGTGTCAACAAAAAACGTTATAAATCAAATGAAAACATCACGTGACTTCATTTGTGTGGCACTGTTAACGGCCTTTACATTTTTACATTTACGATTGGCGAAACACGTGTGGAGAAGTTTTACTTAAAAAAAAAAAAAATAAATAAATCATGAACGTCTGATAACGATTGCATTGAATTTCTAAACCCCTCTTCTTACTTGGCTATGAAAAATAAAATAAAAAGTGTATGTGATTATGTAAAAAAAAAATTAAAATGTCTATCATTTCTAGCATTACAACTTGTATTATGTACCTATCTTATGAAATTTATATGATCTCAGTTTTATATTATCTCAGTTATATCATTTTTTCCATAAATGAAATATCAAAATTAATAAAATGATTGGAAATCCAAATACCATACAATGTACACTACTGATATTTCATAAGAAAGGTAATTAATTAGGTAACTTTCTTATGAAATTTCATCTCACTCTTCATGTCTTATTTAATTTTTTTTATAGTATTGTGCTTTTCCATGAAGCATAGTAAAGGTAAGTACAAAAAAAAAATGAGCGCTGATAGTTTTCCTTAATAACTTGCGTGCTTCAACATTGAATTTCTAGAGTTTTTTTTTCATTAAATTTCGGTGGGAGGATATATATATATATATATATATATATATATATATATATATATATATATATATAATTACTTAAAAAATTATAATAATAATTTCCATCATTCCTGAAGATTTCATTAAAATCTGACAATTATTTCTATTTTTGCAAGATTTTCAAAATTAATGCGTGTCATAAGAAAAAAAAAATGAACAAAAATTTGCCATGTTATTTAGAGTTCCGGTGATGACGAGCGGAGAAACAAGATTTTTCAATCAAAAGTTAAAACGTTCTAATAAAGACAGAATTTTTTTTAAAAATAATTAAAAATTACTTTGTTCTTTCCCCTTCATAGTAATATAAATATTTTGGCGATAAAATTCTGCTTCGTCAAGCTTAAGGCCGTTTTTCATGCCATGCCTACTTAAAAATAACGAGGTAAATAAGTTATTAACGTAAAGATAAATTGTCACTTATGACCTTCCGTACTATAAATTTCCTCACGTAACATGTCAGTGCGTGATGAAATCACGTACATGTCAATTGTCAATCGACACCGCAGTTCAGACCGGCTTTCTCCCATTTGAAAGAACATGTTTTCAGCGCAGAAAATAAGCAATCTTTGTTTCAAAATATATTAAATAAACTTTATGTGGTTAAAAAAAATGATCTCATTGGCGTCTGTACGTAAAAAGTCTCATGTGAAAGCTATATATTGTTTATTTTAAGCTGGCAAAAGAAATTAACGCGGCATCACGGCGTTCATAGGACGGGAGTTGAAAAAAATTAGATGGAGTGTACGAAAGACGGTGAGAGAAGAGGAATTTAGTCTACAAAAAAGCTAAAAATATGGAGTGTACGAAAGCCGGAGAGAGAAGAGGAATTTAATTTACAAACAGCAAAACAATACGTGAAATACAACATCTACGTTTTGTCACTCAGAATTAACGTCTGCTAAGGAATTTTAAGACAGTCTTTTCGAATTTAAACTACAACCTATTTCGGCATATACATATAAAGCACCGTGACGGTATGGAGTAACTGTCGATATGGTGAAAATATTTAGTGGCGAAGGTGATTTGATTGCCTGGTTGGCGAAAGTGAAATTGGTAGCGAGACTGCAAAAAATCCACGACCTTGCAAGTTTTATGTCTCTGTTTTTAGAAGCGGACGCCCTGGCCTTATATCTACATTTGACCGATCAAGATCAACGGGATGCAAAGAAAATAGAGGCTAAGTTAAAAACAGCCTTTACGGACGGAGTTTTTTCTGCATATGCAAAACTAGTGAAGACGCGATGGAGCGGCGAAGCCGTTGATGTGTATGCAACGAAAATACGACTGGCGGAATTAGCAGGGTTTGAAGGAAGTGGACAAGAGAAGATCGTGAAGCTCACGTTTGTCAATGGGTTCCCGGAAAGCATTTCGGTGCCACTACAGCAGTTGCCAAATGTGGAGAAACTAGAACTGGGTGAAATAATTTCAAGTGCCAGGGTGCTTACAGCCACTCGGAGACCATAAGTAGTAGCGGTCGAGAACGAGAACCTAAACAGCGTGATGGAAGACCAAGAATGATCAAACCGTTTAGTGGCAAATGTTATAACTGCAAGGGTCCTCACTTGTTGAAAGACTGTAGGGAACCAATTAAGGTGACCTGCTATGGATGCGGCAAGCAGGGACATTATGTAAAACACTGCCCACAGGGAAAAGATCAGGGGGCAACCGGTGCGGTTACCCCTTCAAATCAGCAATGGCGCAAACCAGAACACTACCAACAATAGAAGCACTAATAGAAGGCATGAGAGCTAAGGCCTTAATTGATACTGGCAGCACCGCAACATTAATCCGGTCGAGTCTTTCGACTGATTGTAGGAGTACAAGTACTGTAAGAGCAGTGGATGGACTGGAGGTTGTGTGCAGAGGGATCAGTACAGTGACGTTGGAGGTATGTGGACGGTTACTGAGAATCGAGGCAATTGTGATGGACAAGATCATTGATGGTGTTGATGTCATTATGAGCATGGATGTTATCCGCCAGCTTGGAGGGGTTACCGTCTACGGAAATGGTAACGTGGAGTTCAGAGGAGGAGATTGTGCTATGGACATACAACCAAACAGCAAGAGTAGCAAAAAATGCAATGCGAAGTGTTAGATAAGGACTTTGGTGCAAAATTTGATGGAAAGAAGTGGATCGTGGAATGGAAATGGATTTCAGAACCCCCAATATTAAAAAACAACGTTAGTCACTATCATGCTAAATTAAGTAAGGAGAAGAAGGTCGAGTTCGACAGTGAAGTTAAACGGTGGATTGAGGAAGGAATCTTAACCCCGTGGAACCAGGATGTTCAGACGGGAGTGCTACCCTTAATGGCGGTGGAACAACCCAGAAAAAAAAACAAGGTCAGGCCAGTTCTCGATTACCGAGAACTAAATAAATACATTATGTCATTCTGGTGGGGATACAATTAACGTTTGTGGAGAAACAATGAGGAAGTGGAGGCAAATGACAACGGCATCAAAAATTGTTGATCTAAGGTCTGCATATTTGCAAATCCATGTCACGAGACATCTGTGGAAGCACCAGTTAGTTCGATACGAGGGACAGACCTATTGTTTAATGAGGTTGGATTTCGGACAAAATGTAGCCCCGAAAATTGTCAAAAATCCTAAAAAATGTGCTAACAAAAGAGGAACACATCGGAAAAAACACAGATTCGTATATTGATGATATACTAGTGGATGAAACATTGGTACCAGCGGCAGACCTTGTAAATCATCTTAACAACTTTGGCTTAACAGCAAAGCCACCAGAATCATTAGAAGGAGGAGCAGCGTTGGGTCTTCGGCTTCATACGGATAAAGCAGGAGATCTGGTATTTGCGAGAGGGAATGACCTGCCGGAGGTGCATGAGTAAATGAGAAGACGTGAACTGTTCTCTGCCTGCGGAAAAATGGTGGGCGACTACCCAATAGCTGGATGGCTTAGAATCGCCTGCAGTTATTTGAAGAGAAGAGCAGGAGGAATCGATTGGGAAGACATAGTGGATAGTGAATCAACCAGTATGGTACAGGAAGTTGTGGAAGAAGTTCGACACCACGATCCAGTTCGAGGGAGATGGCATGTTCCCAAAATGGAAAAGGGTGTTGTATGGTGCGACGCAAGCAGTATGGCCACTGGTGTATGTATTGAGATCGATGGTGCGATAGTCGAAGATGCGGCGTGGCTAAGAAAGAAACGTGACTACATCCATATCAACGTTGCTGAGTTGGATGGTACGATAAAGGGTGTAAAGCTCGCATTGAAATGGGGTCTAAAAGAGATTGAAATTCGAACTGATTCGGTTACTGTCCGCAGTTGGATCAGTCTTAGGATAACAGGCGAAAAAAGGATCCGTACAAAAGGAGCGGCAGAGCTAATTATCATGCGACGTTTGGGGATTCTGAGGGAAATTATTGATGAATTTAATTTAAAATTGAGTGTAACGTTCGTGCCCTCTGACAGAAATAAGGCCGATGCTCTAACCAGAGTGAAAAAGAGTTGGCTGAAAGTAGAGAAAGCTATTACAGCGACGTGCCGTGCAGGCCGAGATGAGATCAAGGAGTTGCACGGACTGCATCATGTAGAAGTGGATAGAACACTATATCTAGTACGGAAAGTCTACCCGGAGATGTCAAGAGATACTGTACAGAAGGTGGTTAGAAGCTGCGACCGTTGCCAATCAATCGATCCGTCGCCAAATGTTCACGAATTAGGAGAAATCCAAGTAGACACCAATTGGACCCGATTATCTATCGATGTGACGCATTATAGAGGTGAAATGTAACTGACTATAGTTGATTGTGGCCCTGGCCGGTTCGCCATTTGGAAGGAGATTCGAGCAGCAACGGCAGACTTCATTGCGAAGGAGCTGGAGGAAATCTTTTTCGAGTGTGGACCAGTTGAAGATGTACTCATGGACAATGGGGCACCGTTCTGTTCGGAAGTTTTTCGGTCAATGTTGGATAAGTGGAACACTAGACAATATTATAGAGCAGCGTACAGGCCTAGTGGAAATGGTATCGTAGAACGAAACCACCGAACTATAAAAGTCATTGCCGAGAGAGGAGGGATATCGCCTGCAGAAGCAGTATTTTGGCATAATATGTCAACAAAATGGACAAGAGGAATGGTTACCAAGGCACAGTCGCGCAACAATGTTGAGGTGGACGGTATGTCAAGGCATATTCTTGACCTAAGAGGGATTGAAGAGGATTTAGAGAATGAAGAAGAAAATTGGAGAAGTTCTCATGAGGCTCAACCCCAAACACTGCGGAAATCGCAAAGAGAGCGACACCCGTCCAGATAGAAGGATGATTATATAACGTGAGATGTGATCATGAGATCAGGGGGGCGTGTGGTTTAAAAAAATGATCTCATTGGCGTCTGTACGTAAAAAGTCTCGTGTGAAAGCTATATATTGTTTATTTTAAGCTGGCAAAAGAAATTAACGCGGAATCACGGCGTTCATAGGACGGGAGTTGAAAAAAAATTAGATGGAGTGTACGAAAGACGGAGAGAGAAGAGGAATTTAATTTACAAACAGCAAAACAATACGTGAAATACAACATCTACGTTTTATCACTCAGAATTAACGTCTCCTAAGGAATTTTAAGACAGTATTTTCGAATTTAAACTACACTTTATAATTTCTAATTTTTTTTTTGAAATTATTTAAAAAAAAATCATAATTGATTTTTTAAATGAATTTTAAACGGCGACATTCACTTTTGTAAACAAAAGATAAAAAAACGGCTGACGATCGATTTTCTGTCAATTTTTCTGATTCAAGATTTTTAAGGAAAATTTTGGACGTGCTAGAAATTATTAAAAATGTAAAAAAAAATATTCAAAAATACTTTGATCTTTCCTCTTGATAATAACATTAGACGATAAAAAATTATTTTCATCAAGTTTAAGGCCTTTTTTATTCATGGTATGCTATTTTTTTATCGATCTCATGAACATGTTTTATCATAAATCTTTATGTCATTATTAAAATGACCAAAGAATTTTTTATTATTAAATTGTATTTTTGATCCTTTTTAAAGCCTTCGAAATTTTAGTTGAAATTGTGTTTTTTCTTTCTATGCAAAACACATCAGTTTGGAAAAACCAGATAACTGTCGAATTTTAATAAAACTTTCAGGGCTCACAAAGGAATTAGGATTTATAAGCGTTTTCTTCTTTTTAGAAAATCTTGGTAAAATTTTTTTTGCATATATTAATCTCCACTTATTTAATTTTATGAAATTATGAGAAATTCTTATTTGTGTCATTTAATTTTCATATTGGTTATAAGGAAATGTCTTCGGAAAAATTTAAATCATGAAATTATTTTAGTCAAACAGGATCCCTAGTTATAGGAAATATTCTCTAATTCGTATAATAAAAAAAGCAATAAAACTAAGACGTTACCCATTAAAAAAATAGCTTTTACGTATAAATAAGCTCTAGAAAAATGATTACTTGGACATTAGGTTTATAAGTACCAAAATTTCAGACACTGATGTCCTCAAGGCCAACTGGATAAAAGCGTTGGTTAAATCGACTGACTTGACCCAAAGAGTTGTAAATTCAATTTCTATCTACACCTGAGGTGAACAAAAAACTTGGAGAGTTGAGTTAAAGGGAGATAACTGATACTGAGACATTCGGAAGAGGCATGATACTTGGAACAAATAAAAACAATCTACTCCAGTGGATGAAATAAAGGGTTCAGTTTGAAATTCCAGTCACCTAAGTGAGGCTGGAGCGTACAGTGGCCAAATCATTGTGAATATGGCAACAGTCCAAACAATGTAAATAGTGTAAGAAATATGAAAATCAGTTACATTTTCACTTGGTTTTGTTTTTAGAGAATTATGGACATCAAATAGTTCTGTTTACAGTTTACGGATCATAAGACGTTGTGCGGGGCATTTTATAGGCAGACCTCAGCGAAATCCGATCGACAGCAACGTCAACATTCACTGTTATCTGAATATATATCGGCTATCTTATATATCAGAGGCAAGCAGAATATAGTCGCAGAACATCTATCAAGACCTGCAAATAGATGCTTGTGACTTGTCTGCGATAGGACAAGTACAGAAACAAGATGACGAAATCAAGTCATATGACTAAAGGATTAAAGGAATATAATATTTCCCCTAGAATCTGAGCCATACGATGTGATATCTCCTCCACTATACATCCTAGGCTATTTGTTCCTAGGGGTATGCGTAAATCAATATTTACTAGCTTATATTGTTTAGCACACCCTGGAATAAGTAACTCTTTGAAATTATTAAAAGCAAGATATTTTTGGCCTGAAATTGGCAAATTCATAAAAACATTCTCCTGAGAATGTGTTGTCTGTCAACAATCCAAGATTCACAGACACACCAGGTCTGCTGTGCAGAAATTTTTTGTTACTTTCAGCAACATTCCAAACTGTAAATAAATATTGACATTGTCGAGCCGTTGCCGCCAACAAGAACGGAATCAGAACAATATATCAGCCCTTATCGATATTTACTTACTTTTATAGATCGTGCGACACTTCGGATTCAGGATTGCTTACGGTCAAATCACGCTGAAACACCGGTTCTCGTACGATCACCGAAGTTAAGCAGCGTAGAGCCAGGTCAGTACTTAGATGGGGGACCGCTTGGGAACACCTGGTACTGTAAGCCCCCAAAGTCAACCCTTACCTCACAGTCGGTTGGGGGGGGTGTAAACGGTAGTGTCAGAGCTATGCCGCTCGGAACTTCGTTCCTGGTAGGGCTACCCAAGGCGGACAGGTCTGACACACACGCCGGCTAACAAGGGCTCTGGTGAAAATCCAAGGAGCGTCTGCATCGGTAACCGGCGGCTTCTGGTCGTTCCTGTCTCTGCGTCTGTGGGAACCCTGCGGCAAGCAAGAACGTTTTCCGAGTAGGCCTGAGTACCCTACTTCTGTAATTTATCCCAAGAATAATCTTCTCATAACAGGAAGAAGCCGGCTCAATCCGCCCAGGGTGAATGCTGCATCAGTACAGTACACTTCGGATTGAAGTCCAACCTATGATAGAGATCACTGCAAAGTCTGTATCCCAAACTTTTATTGATGCATGTATATCACGATTCGGCGTACCACTATACGTTTTCACTGATCGTGATCGCAAATTTGAAAGCGAATTATTCCAAGAATTAGCAAAAGTAAAAGTAAAAGTATTATGTAAATCTGTCACATTTAGACATATTAAACGACGACATAAAACATAATACTGCAAATTCAATAGAAAAAAATCAAAATTAGATATTTCCATTTGATTTCTTCGTTTTCAATAGAACATATCTAAATCAGCTATATTTTCATTTAATTTAAGTAGTTTCCATAGAAAATAACAACAGCAGTTATATTTTCATCTGTTTTCAACATTTATATTAGAAAATAACAAAAGCAGCTATATTTCCATTTGATTTTATCGTTTTAAATTAGTTATATTTGCATTTCATTACATTTTCAATAGAAAATACCAAAATCAGTTACAATTTTTTGAAAATATCAGTATCTGCTATATTTTCATTTGATTTAATTATTTTTAATAGAGATATCAAAATCAGACTATTTTATTTAATTTGGAAAAATTCAAGAGGAAATATGGCATTCAGATATACTTCAATATGATTTCATCATTTTCAATAGAAAATACCAAAATCAGTTACAATTTTTTGATTAAAACATTTTCAATAGAAAATACGAAAATCAGCTATATTTTCATTTTATTATATTTTCAATAGAAAATAGCAAAATCATTTACATTTTCATTTAATCTCAATATTGGCTATAGATAATATCAAAATCAGTTATAGTTTCATTTGATTTCAATATTCTCAATAGAAAATATCAAAATCTCCTGTATTTTCATTCAAATAAAAATGAGAACATCAGATATATTTTCAATTCTTTCCAATATATTCCATAGAAAAAAAACAAAATCACCTTTATTTTCATTTGATTTCAATATTCTCAATAGAAAATATCAAAATCAGTTATATTTTTATCTGCTTTCAAAATTTTCAAAAGAAAAAAGCAAAATATCAAAAGCAGATATATTTTCATTTGATTTCAACATTTTCATAAAAGAATATGGACATCAGCTATATCAGTTCAATAGAAAATATCAAAATCAGCTATATTTCATTTATATGAAAACATTTTCAATTGAAAATATCAAAATTAGCTTTCTACTTGCTTTCATCGTTTTCAATTGTAAATATCTAAATCAGTTATATTTTGATTTTATTTCACTATTTTACAGAAAAGACAATCAAAATCCACAATATTTACATTTAATTTCAACATTTTAATAGAAAATATCAAAATCAGTTACATTACATTTTGATTTGATGATTTTCAATAGAAAAAATCAAAATCAGTTGTATTTCTATGTGATTTGAATATTTTCAATATAAAATGAAAAAATCATTTGTACTTCAAATTGATTTGAATTTTTACAATAGAAAATATCAGTATCAACTGTATTTCCATTTGATTTGAATATTTTCAATGGAAAATATCAAAATCTGCTGTATTTCTATTTGATTTGAATATTTACAATAGAAAAGATGAAAATCAGCTGTATTTCCATTTGAATTGAATATTTTCAATATAAAATAACAAAATCAGCTATATTTCCATTTGATTTAAATATTTTCAAAGGAAAATATCAAAATCAGTTGTATTTCTATTTGATCTAAATATTTTCAATGGAAAATATCAAAATCAGTTGTATTTCCATTTAATTTGAAGATTTTCAA